GATATAGGGGCCGTGACTGGCACCCCATGCCTCGGCAAAGTTGGATTTTTGTTAGTTGCGAGTCTGGGCTTGTCTGATTCGAACCGAGCAAGCGAGCAACCATGCACGTTCCTGGCACTTGTCCCGCTTTCATGCTGAGGGCCCGGCTGGAGGTCTCGATCCATGTCACGACGCCTTCCCTCATGTTTCCTAGTTACCGACGGTAGTTGGGTGCGCTGGTGCTGAACATGCGATGCCTGGTGGCTGCAGGGGGCCAGGTCAGGCTGCCCTCTGTTCCTTGTCATAGCCAGGGTATACCCGCCTGTTCGGCCCAAACAAAACTGCTCCAACCCCTCCCCAGCATTTCTCTGGCTCACATGCACCATCGGTGAACAAGATCCAAGTTTCCCTAGAGCACGGCTGAATGATGAGCGGGGAAGCGCACTTCACTCTGTCCATGAGGGCACCTATGCACAACACAAGCTCACGATGCAATCTGTCCGACGTAGATGCATTTCTGCAGGCTGCAGACAAGGTTCGAACCGCGCGATTTGGAACTCGCCCAAAGGAAAAACCCTCAAAGAAAACCATTCGACCCCTGAGCCTCTCGAAGACTCTTGGCTCCAGCGAGCCCTGGTCAAGGATGCTTTGCAGGAATTCCAAGAGTTCGGATCTCCGTGAATCGGTGTGGCCAACTGAAATACGCCTTTCACAGGATTCGGCAAGGTCCATCTGAAGGCCCAGCATGTTGAACACCGGCGCATAAGGTGGCGCCTTCTTGCCATCCCTGTCAAAATTAACGCCGAGAAGGTCAAACAACGTTTCAATTGCCCAACGGGTATTGTTTGCCAAGACATCACGAGTAACGTTCGTGAAATCATCGAAGAAAGAAGACCACACCAACTTTAGGAGAACCAATCCTATCCTCCACAAAGCACAGGCGACCCTAAGGAAGGCACACACGGAACCAGAAGCTCCGAATGGTAAGGAATTCACCCCCAGCAGGTTGGGGGCCGTTTCCCCAGGTCTGTTGACCGCAAGACGCAGGTGTTCCCTGTCAAAGGGATGGATGCCATACTGCTTATACGCAGCCTTTAAATCGTATGTGCGTCCGACCCAGCCCTTTCAGCCCTCTGAAGAGGCTTGGCCCAGAGCTGTGACCAACATGGCAGCAAGTTTGTCAACTGTATGGAGCTCAAAACGCTCGCGCAGACCAATGGTGCCATTGAGGCCATTGATAGCGCAATCGTCGATGAGCCTGACCTTGGTAGGGCCTTGCCTCAGTGCAAAACGCAAAGCAATGAAAAGACCCTCTCTGTGGCCATCGTTGGCAATCCATGACCAACCTGCATCAAGCTCCTTCTGCGTCTCAGCCCACGCCGCCTCCTCCAAGTCGGAGTCTTGCCGGCTTCTCAAACGATCGTAGGTGCTGCGATTTAAGCTGTTGGCTAACATGAGCAAAGTGTCCACCGACATGGACGGTCTTTTCACATGTGGCTGGGTATTGCCAGACCGAGGCATCCATCCAGAAATGCGAAAACCACTCTGG